AACATAAGCAAATTTCCATTGTAATCAATAACTTGGCTAGAAAATAATGAGACTACACATTTTTACCAGTATATACCCACAAAGAGAATGTTCTTGGCATACAACTAATTTTGTTTTACACTGAACCAACAAAGCAAGTTACACCTATGATTTTTTTTTAAACCTCGCTTTGGCCTCAGTTGACAATATTTTTTATTTGGATTATAAATGATCTTTCGACTTTAAGAACATGATAGCTGTGATTCCATTACCACATACTAATTTTCCGAAATACACATCCTGTGTATGCAAAATAGAATAAACAGCTGCGCCATGAGCGCATGATACGCCCGTCGTCTTGTGTGTGAATTTTTATGCAATAATCATAAATAGTTTCTGACATACGGCGCGACATGCGAAAACCCCCCCCCCCCCCTTTTTTTTTACAAAAAACTCAATATCTCTAAAATAAAATTTTGAATCAAAACCAAAAAGTATACAGATCTTTAGATTAATATAACTAAGAAGTGTGTAAAATTTTAAGCAATAATCATAAATCGTTTTTGAGATACGGCGCGACATGTGAAAACCCCCCTTTTAAAAAAAAAATCAATATCTCTAAAATAAAATTTTGAATCAAAACAAAAAAGTATACATATCTTTAGATTAATATAACTAAGAAGTGTGTAAAATTTTAAGCAATAATCATAAATCGTTTTTGAGATACGGCGCGACATGTGAAAAACCCCTCCCCCTTTTTTTTTACAAAATACCCAATAACTCAAAAACAAGATTTTGAATCATCACCAAAAAGTATACAGATCTTAAGATTAATATAACTAAGAAAGGTGTAAAGTTTTAAGCAATAATCATAAATTGTTTTTGAAATACGGCGCGACATGTGAAAAAAAAACACACACCTGTTTTAGTTACTAAGTCCCGTAACTCAAAAAGTTTTAATCTTATTTTCACCAAAAAGTATACAGATCGTTTGACCATCATAAGAAACAACTATGGTAACTTTCATGAAATTTGGATAAGTCGTTCTCAAGTTACGGTGCGACATGTTTACGCCGGACAGACAGACGGACAAACGGACAGACGGACAGACGACATTTGTATACCATAATACGTCCCGTCAAAATTTTGACGGGCGTATAAAAACACGGTTTCAGCGTTGAATTTGTTTTTTTTTAAATGAAGAAAAATAACTTAAACATATCGAGAAACTGCTGTTTTACAATTTAGAAAATAACTCTGATATATGTTGCGGTGAAATATTATAAGCAATGATAAAGTTAATGGATGTGAAAAGGTCAAGGCCAAATCTACATTTTCTTAGTAATAAATGGAAGAAAATCAGAAGTTTTATCATTGACGCCATTTTGTAATGGCAGCTGTTCATACAAATAACTAAACTTGTCGTTTTGACATCCTTTGCATTATATGCTTGTTATTAAATCGATTTTGTAGCATTCTACTGATTATATCTCAGAAAATTCCTTAATTCATCAAGACGGCATTTTAATGAGGAAGTGGAGGCCCTCTGATGTTATCCCAGAGGAGGAATGGAGAGTGGTATACCAAGTGGTGGTGCCTAAATCTATAGGCAAGAAATTATTGGTCCTGCCCATGACACCCCCATGGTTGTACACTTAGGTATAAGGAAGAGTTGCCTGAAGATCTTGCAGCATTTCTACTGGCCGAGACTTAAAAATGATGTCGCAGAATACTGCAAATCATGCCATATATGCCAGGTTGTGGTATAGAACCACTAATTCAGGCCCGGTCGGAAAGAACATACAAGAAAGTAGTACATATTTTAAACAAAATAGTTCCTACGCATAGCTGTATCTTTGTCAATAGTGGGAATATTTGGGTAGTTTTAGTATCAAATGAAAGCTTGGGGACTTGGGATCACTGTAGAACCCTTGTTGAAAGTTTTATTTGAATAATAAAGAAGTATATGGAATTTTAATAGGAGGGCTCATTTGGCCTGTTGTTCAGATCAGAAGTTCCTGTTTTTGTACTATCAAACTTCAGGGAACCAGTACACTCTAATATGCAATTAAAGGTATGTTGATTTTTTCAGCACAAGTCAGCATAAGGTACAGTTTTGACATGAAATAACTGCCACTTTATTTGAACTTAAGACAAAGTAGCCATTTATGCTTGAAATTGCAGAATTTAACATAGAAAGCAATGGGGCTATGAATTAGTGGTTTTATACCTATTATGGTAAGCCTAACCAGAAAATACCACCAGCACCACTTCTGCCAATCCCAGCCTTTGAAGAACCTTTCAGTCGAGTTCTAATTGATTGCGTTGGACATTTACCAAAGACCAAGACTGGAAACGCGTATTTATTGACGATCATGTGTACATCCACTAGCTTTCCCGAGGCTATTCCGTTAAGGAATATCAAGACACCAACTATTGTCAAAGCTCTTATCAAATTTTTCACGTTAGTAGGACTTCCTAAGTCTATACAGTCCGACCAGGGTTCAAATTTCATGTCAGGTTTATTTCAGCAAGTCGTTAACCAGTTAGGGATTGCTCAGTATAGGTCAAGCGCTTATCATCCAGAATCTCAAGGTGCCTTAGAACGTTTTCATCAAACATTGAAGAACATGATTAGAAATTTTTGTCTTCAATTTGACAGAGACTGGGATGATGGTGTTCACTTTCTACTTTTTGCGGTCCGAGAGGCTGTTCAAGAATCCCTTGGTTTTAGCCCCTTTGAGTTGTGTTTGGTCATACTGTAAGGGGACCTTTAAAATTGGTTAAGGAAAAATGGCTTACTGAACACACAGACTTGAATCTTCTAGACTATGTATCTAGATTTAAAGAAAAGTTGTATACTGCTTGTCAAATTGCTCAGAAAAATTTAAAAACTGTTCAGAATAAGATAAAAATATGGTATGATATAGATGCCAGGGACAGTGTTTTTGAGCCTGGTGATAAGATGCTTGTATTTTTGCAAGTCCCTGGACATCCTTTACAGGCTAAATATTGTGGTCCTTATACCATAGAGAGTAAAATTAATGATTTGAATTATATTGTTAAAACACCAGGTCGGCGTAAACAAAATAGAGTGTGTCACAATAATATGTTAAAACCGTATTTTGAGCGTACTAATGAATTCGAAGGTGAGAGCAAACCAGTTGCCACTTTAGCCATGGTTAAATTGGAGAACAGTCATGACAAACCATATATAACTGAACCACCTTTTGATTCTAATACTATGGAACAAACAATTAGATTGAAAAATTCAGAAATTTTGTCAAATTTAGACTCATAACTTGCACATCTGACTTTTGATCGTAGAGAAAATTGAAAACTTTGGTATTTTCTTTTAAAAGTCTTTTTCCAGATGTGCCAAACAAAACCACTGCTGTTTGTCATAATGTTGATGTTGGCGATGCTTCTCCAATTAAGCAACATCCTTACCGGCTCAATCCACTAAAACTTGCTTTTATGAGACAAGAAATTAAATATATGCTTGACAATGATATTATTGAGCCGAGTAACATTGAGTGGAGCTCTCCTTGTCGCCTTGTGCCCAAACCAGATAAAACCTTTCGTTTCGTGACTGATTTCAGAAAAGTAAATTCAGTTTCAAAATCTGATTCCTATCCGATTCCAAGGATAGACGACTGCATTGATAACATTAGACAAGCAAAATTTGTGAGCAAATTTGATTTATTGAAAGGTTACTGGCAAGTACCATTGACACAGACAGCTCGAGAAATATCAGCTTTTGTAACACCAGACGGCTCATTTCAATATACTGTCATGCCGTTTGGTATGCAAAAAGCACCAGCTACATTTCAAAGAATTTTCAATAATGTTATAAAAGATTTAGACTGTTGTTATGCTTATATTGATGATCTTATTGTATGTAGTGATAGCTGGGAAGAGCATTTAACACATTTATATGATACTTATGATAGATTGTCACAATCAAATTTGACTGTTAATCTTGGTAAAAGTGAATTTTGTCAGGCCATTGTTGAGTATTTAAGGCACACAGTTGGCCAAGGTCAAGTGAAACCTATTATGGCTAAAGTGGATGCAATTACCAAATTTCCTCTTCCTACAAATAAAAAACAACTTATAAGATATTTAGGCATGATTGGATTTTCCAGGAAATTTTGCTACTGTTGTTCACCCATTGACTCATCTTTTACGGAAAGATTCTGAATTCATCTGGAGTGATAATTGGCCAAACGCTTTTGAAAACAGCAAATCACTTTTAATTAATAGTCCAGTTCTGATCACTGCAGACTTTGAAAACCAATTCAAACTTGCCGTTGATCCTAAAAATTTCATCGGAAGATACCAAGACCTTGTTGATAAATATTCAGTATCAACTTAACAAATAATACATGATGGTCTTGAAGTATAGATTCTAGGCACTGACGTTGTTTATCATCTTAATAGCGTGTTATAGTGTTCTTTTTATTTGTCTTTGTATATTTTTAAAAAATTACTATTTAGTCCATTTTTTGGTAATATCCTTTTGTGTGGCTCGGTATTCATACATCCCGCCATTGTGTTATTGTACTATGGTAATAATTTTGAATTCTTGTCTTACATTTTTGCTATGTGCTTTGTCTATAGAGTGTCTATTTGCTATTTTGTTTTTTTTTGTTGACATAGTTGATTGCTTTTATAGTGATTAAGATTATAATACTATGTTGACAGCTGTACCTCAATTTTTGACATTTTTACCTATTATGTATGTTTGTTTTGCTTACACATCGTTGTAAATATAATGTATTCTATGCAACTGTCATACAAGTGAGAGGTTTAGCTAGCTATAAAACGAAAATGCCTGTACCAAGTCAGGAAGATGACGGTTGTTTTCCATTCGTTTCATGTGTTTGAGCTTTTAATTTGCCATTTGATAAGGGACTTTCCGTTTTGAATTTTTCTTGGAATTCGGTATTTTTGTTATTCTACATTTTACGTATACGAATACGACATGAGGTTAACAATTGTATCAATTTTAGACTCACCGCGATAACTTTTCTATTTCTGCTTGCTTGTGTCTTAATACGTTGTTTAAATCACTGTTTTCCTTCTTAAGTTCGCAGGCTAATGTTTCTTTTTCCTTTACTGCATTTGTCAGTAATTCAATTTCAGTTTCTTTTTCTTTGATTATACTGAAAGAAGATCATAACAGTCACTGCACCGTTCCTACTTATACAACATTCATCGTTATGTACAATAAGTGGGGAATTAAAAAAAAATAGAGTTTTAATAAATACACCTACTACAACTTATCTATTCGATTTCAACATTTCATTTTCTTTCTGAAAAGTGAAACCTGTCCGAATATAGAAATACCTTTGTATTGTGAATTTCAAGAGAAAGGCGAAAGATACCAAAGGAACATTCAAACTAAAAAATGAAAACGACCATCAGACAAACAACAGTACACAAAACACAACATAGAAAACTACAGACTGAGCAACACGAACCATTCCAAAAACCTGGAGCTGATTTTAGTTGCTCCGGAAGTTATACAGATCCTGCTCAACATGTCAAGGTCATCTCTTTTATATGATCACTTTTCTCTGGTTCAGATGACCCATATATACAGGTTCGACTGTAATGATTATTACTTCCAGCGGAAACAATATTCACAAATAGTTTTTTCCGTTTGGAACTATAGTATAAAGTAACTTCTATTTCATGACACATCGACACACAAACGGCTAAATTTTGCATTGGTCAAACTATATATCACTGTTGCTGATATATCAAAATTTTGCAGTCAAGAAATGAATGTGTATAATTCAAACTCACTTCTAGTATACGTATCTCCGAATTATGATTATGATAATCTCCCATCTTTGTACTGAATTCTTGAATTACAAACAAATACTGTAAAAACGATGTATAGCCGGGTCGTCAAGACGTCAAACTTAAATTTTTTCTAAAGTTCTTACCATTATTTCTGCGGTAAAAGATGGCCTTCAGAAATAGAGTGGTGAGATATATTTAACCAGTTGTGTTAATCAGATGTGGATTTAGTTTACATTACTATTCACGAAAAATCTTCCTTTGTGAAAAACCACACTGATTTTAAACATAGATACACCAAGGATGATATAAACAAAATGTTGGACTTTTTGATTCAGTTTTTTTAAAAGTTGTTTCAGCTGACAGTCGGTTTTAGAGGGGTTACTAGTTATGCACCACAACTGGCCTACTTGTTGTTCTTATATCAAGCATAATTCATACAGAACCTTCTCAAATGGTAAGAAAATGGAGCACCTTGCAACGGTTTTTTAATCTCACCTTCAGGTTTATTGAGAATGTTTTTCTGTCACTCAATAACTCACATCTCAATGAGTTCACAACTTATATTCTGCGAACATGAGATTAAGAATACTAACGAAAGTGGACAGTCTGCTTCATACCTTTACCATTTCCAAAATATTGAAAGCATTTTGTTTATACCATCTTTGGTGAAAAATCATCACAGAGAGACGACTTCAAACTACAATTTGTAATCATCTAAAACCTCCACTTTCGTAAATGATGAAGAATTTTATATGGAATGCACAGTTTGGCCATGAATTCCGAGTTATTTAGTTAGAAATTACAAATAAATTTTGCATTTAAGAACATTTTGCTAGATGAAAACAATATTGTAACATCAACATATTTGTCATATTTGTCTTTAGGGGAGGATAACGCAAAAACAACCTCGGGATCGAAAGTATTAAAAACCGTGTGTTTGTTGCACGCCGTTGATTGTGTATGCAATTGTGATTGCATGGTCGAAAGTGTACAGTTTTATTGCAACGTTCGCGCATTATATATTTTCTGGCAATGTCTTTCAACTATACCCTTCAGGTACCTGAAGTTCGTCGTTCAGTTGATTGGCTAGGGAATTGATATTTAAAGCCTTTGGTTAACCACTCTCTAAGTTGTACTTTGTTTACGATGCCAGTGTCCCCAGTAATAATATGACCAGCGGGACTATATTTCGATGGATACGATGATACCAATCATAAGCTATATACATAGCATGCCTTTTACGAATTAACGTATTTAATTCACGAAAAGCGTAGATTTGAGTGGATTAAATATGTTAATGAGTAAGACGTAGGTATATATGATTTGTAACATTAATGGGCGATGACACCTGTCAAAGGTTAAACTTAATTATACTTTTCATGAATTAAATATGTCAATTAAATAGTGGCGCTTTCTATGACAAATCGCCTCCTATTTTCAGAAAATTAACTCATGAATCATATTTTTTAGTAGGATTTGATTTTATTATAAACACTGGACACTTTTAATTTGCAACAAAACACTCATTTGCAAATCCGCCGCCGCCTCTCCTTAGAGCTACTGTGTCGTGTATATAACCAAAATGTGCGGAATTACATGGGATTCAATAATTTCATTGCTTTTCTGCTGTTATTATTATATATATTTTGTAATTTGATTTAGAAAAACACGGGATTTTCAGTATCCCATGTGATAGGGCAATATCCCATGGGATTGACCAGTATCCCATGGGATTTTGGTTAAATCCCATAGGATTTTTTTGGGTCCCATGGGACAAAATAAAATCCTATGGGATTCAAATTATAAATATACAGTAATGTGTATGTTACAATGAATTCTGTTTGGTAGTAAAAAGTTTATAATATATATATGAGTGTATTTTGGGTTTTTTCATTATGTCACAAACATGTTTTTAACTTGTTTATATGACAATAAAGATTATTATTATTTTGGAAAGAATAATAATATTTACAGTCAAAAAGAAAATCCTTTCACTGAAATAAAATGATGACATGTCTTAATAAAAGAAAAAAATATTGATTTGAAATCTTTGTCTTGTTTGTTTTATTATGAAAAATAGAACTGAAAAAAATATTTCATATTCTGACTGAATAAATTGACAAAGCACAGTTAATAGTTTACTCTTTTCATGAGGTAAAGTTTTCTTTGTTATAGTTCCATTGCAATACATGAATATGCAAACAATTTGAATCTTATACCTTTGTGGTGTTCATAATATTACGTTTATATTTGCAAATTTATAAAATAAACACTTTTCCTGTTAAGTTTTAGTTTTCTTGTTTCAGCTTGCTATGCACAATTATTCAGTCACCTATATAAGAGTCAAGTAAATAAATTATTTCATCCAATACAATTCTTAGACAAAACATTTTTGCAATCTGTTCTTCAGAGATCTTCCTCCGTACATCTTTATTGGATGGAGCGATTTAAATGAGTGGACAAAGCAAGTTCATTTGGACAACAAAATACTAATATATTTTTTCATTCCTCCCTTCTTTCAATTGATTATTACGTTGTTGCATTTACATGATTAAGTTCTTGTGCATCTATGATCATGATGATATGACTCATTTTTGTTTATAGTCATTATGTTGAAATTTCCTCTTTCTTATGTAGGAAAAAACACATTCCATTTCAAATTAATAAAAAAGTCACACTATGTAGAAAAATATCAACTGTAAGTTTTCTGTTCAGTATTGACCTGTTGAATGATGATCATGAAAACCAAGATGTCTGACCTACAAATACACAAACCTCAAAAATCATAAATGAAGAGAAATACAGCAATAAAATGGTTATTTCATCATGTTTATGTACATTTTGATAAACTTTCATTTGAATATTTAAAATTGTAAGTACTCTTATTTCAGTGCTTTGTGTCTATGTTTTTCATATTAGTTGTTTTTGTGCTTTGTTGCAGTCTTTTGAGTTAAGCCAATTGCAACAAATGTTAACAGTTTGTTCAAAATGTTGTGCTGTTATCAAAACCACTGTCCCAGGTTAGGGGTGGGTTGGGTGCTCACAAAATGTGTATTTTATTAGTTGATATTTGCTTTGAATTAGCTGTCAGTAACTGTGTGTACTAATAGATCTGTATGTTGAGTCTTTTTTGTTAAAGGGATGAATAAATTTCCAGCCACATCCGGTCTGTGTTTTTGGTAGCTGTTTTTCTGCTTTGTTGCATTCTAATGAGTTAATAAAATTGAGAATGAAAACGGGAATGTATCAAAATAACCTGACCCAAGAGCAGAAAAAACCCTTTTCAACTGATTTTATAGTTTTTATGCTGAACTGACACTTACACCACTGTCCTTAATTAGAGGAGGATTTGGCACCAGCAATCATGTTCAACCATGCCACATTTTGTAAGTGTCTGTCCCAAGTCAGGGACCTGTTATTCAGTGGTTGTCAATTGTTGCTATATATCATATTTGTTTTTAGTTTATTGTTTTGTGCAAAAATCAGACACTTAGCTTTCGCCTTTGTGGTGTTTCCCCCAAGCATGTTTAGCATGGATAGACGCCATACCCTTTTAAATGACGCCATGCCCTTTTTGAATTGTTTTACATTTGTTATTTTATGGCCTTTTATAGATTACCATGCGGTATAGAGTTTGCTCATTGTCGAAGGCTGTACAGTGAACTATTTTTGTTAAATTTGATGTCATTTGATCTCTATTGGAGAAAAGTCTCATTGGCAATCATACCGCTTCTTATTTTTATATCAACCCTGCCTTAATTTTGCCTGTCCAAAATCAGGAGCCTGTACATAGTTCAGTGGTTGATGTTGGTTCACCTCCGTCATATTTGTTTTTTCATAACTTGTTTTTTTTTTTAAATTAGTCTGGTATATTTGAAGTTTGAATTGATGTTTTGTTCCAAATTTTGTTTGTGGTGTCTTTTATAGATGACTATATCATGTATACAGTGGCGGATCCAGAAATTTTCATAAGTGGAGGCCCGCTCCGGTCATGCTTCAGTAATCCTCTCTATATAATCAACCAAATTTTTCCCAGAAAAGGGGGGCCCGGGTCTTGCAAGACTTTGCAAGGTACGCACATACCAAATATAGTTATCCAATTACAACCAAGGGTCCTTCAAGATCAAAATCCCACCTAACGAGGCTTCACAGCAAAATCATCGCCACTGAACGCAGCTCTGGCTATGGAAGAAGTTTATCGTGAGAGTGTAGACAGCAACCAAGAATTTGAGCTGGATCTACTAGACGCAAAGTCGGCATTTGATGTAGTGGTACACAGTCACCTCATGCGACGACTCTTTTATTGCGGTATCGACGACACTCTCTGGAAGATAATACAGAGTATGCACTGGCA